AGGAGTTGAGGCAGGTTCTGGGAAAAATGCCTAATGAGGAAATTAAAGCTGAGATGTTGACCTACAGCTTTTGAACACTTCTATCGCCCTGGTATCTTTGGGTAAATAAAGCAAGGAAGACAAATTCCATCCCCCTTATGTTTGCTGTTCAACTCTGACCCCTGCCCATGGAATGACTTTAAATCTCTGTCATGGAAAAAAATGGTACCACTTTAATTTCCGGCTCCATCCACATCTGGCTAGGGAGAGGATCAATTAATATTATTGTAATTTGTCTTTAGCGCCTCTAATACCCTTGAGGACCAGCCTGTGGGACAGTTTGTTTTTGCTGGGATTCTCAGCCAGAATCAGGAGAGTGGGATTCTGGACCAGGCCAGTTCACGTAACACAGCTCAGAGCCATACAACACAACTTGCTCCGAGGATGTTGGGCATTGTGCTTCATTAGGAAACAAAATATAAGCTTTCCACACCATTAGGAATGACTTTAGGAGTGAAAGCACATAAGACGATGCCTCACCTCATCAACAATGCACTGCAAAAGCTGGAGAGGCTGCAATGGAAAAGAAGAGAGGAAAAAGTATTAGTCTCTATGCAATATCTTTACAGTGGAGTGGAAAGAAAAAATCATTAATGCAATAAAATATAGCAAGATTAATCAACAACAGCAAACTCTTATAAAAACATTGATGCTCAGGATGTTCTATTATTTCTAATGGTACCTAATCTAATACAGGCAGTTAAAGGTTTGCATTTTCTTCAAAATGCAATTTGCTAAGTTTAAAACAAGGCATTCAAGCATGCAAAGGAAGCAGCCATCAGGAAAAAGAAAAGTGAATTTTTTTCTGAACTCATAAAGCTTACCATTAAAGATCCCTGGTTTTTCTGAATCTGAAAAAAGGCAATATGTAATTAGCATGTCATAATCAAAATGACTCACTTGGACACATTATGATCACTGAGAGAAAATTATTGCATTGCTGGTGGCAATTTGTGGGCATGTGTTAACACAATTTACATAATGAAAATACACAAATGTTAATAGCTCGCTTCTCATTTATAGGCGAAAGTCAGCAGAATGTTAATTTCACACAACACTTTTTAGTACCCTCCAGGTTGTATTAGAATAGGGAGAAAAACCATAATCCATTTCAAAAGGCTGTTTACGATTCAGATATAAATAATGTTTTATATTGCTAGATTGTGAACACTGGGCTTAATGTTGCAATCATTGCTAATGTTATGAAGCTCACTCTTTTTAAATTAAAAACCGATTTATTTAAAATTGAAATTAAATCATAGTCAGAAATTAGAATTTTGGATTCCTGCCAGTATCTGCTCACAATCCCCCATTTTGTGAAGAAAACTTTAATTATGTCGTTGAAGTATCTGCCTCCAACTCGGGAGTGGGGTGAAGGCTCCACCTTCTCCAAAGTTCCTTCCACTGTTTCCAGGGCAGCAATGCTCTCTGGGAAAATCAAATTCATGCAAGTTTTATGCTGTTTTTCAGGGAATAGAAGCAGTGTCGAGTAAGCGTGCCGGCTCCTAACCAACATTCTAAAGGCAGGCTGCTCACATGTCTAATACTAATAAACCACATCTCTTAGAAAGTTACTAAAATGTGAGACCAAATTAATAGAACATCCACTTAGTACTTAAAGTATTAGACCCTTCAGTGTGAAAACAAATGCCTGTAGTTATTAAAAACTCAACGAAAATGGAGTTCCAGGTACTCAATTTCCTAAGAAAAATTTCAGGAATCAAATACTGGCATTAACCGGTCAGTTGTATTCTGGGATAACTGAGCTCAAACTGGTTGGTAAAATGCAGGGGGAATATTAACAGTCCCTTCGTGTTTTTAATGGTGCTTTAACAGATCCTTTCACATACTCTCATCTGATCTGCACAACCACCCTGAGGCTGGTAGGGATGACAATCTCTATTCTAACTTGGGTAAACTGGGCCTCCCAGGGAACAGGGAATGCCCAAAGAGGGGGGGCTGGGCCGTGGTGGCGGTGGTGGGACTCGCCCCATGCTTTTTCCCCTCCAGCACCTGCATTGTACCTGCCTTGGATCATACCATTTAAAAACCAACAGATTTGCATACATTTATACATGGCATGGTAAAGTTTATAAATGACCAATTTTGGCATATGGGTTCTTTTTAACTAGATATTAAGCTTTTCAAGGTTTTTGTATTTCTTTTGCATCCACGTGGCTGTTTAGCAGACCCTTCCACCTAGTGGCTGAGTGTTTTAAGAAGTGTTTTCCCTGTATTATCTTAACTGAATATGGTGCACACTCATTACTGGTCTTGGCTCTTTATTACCCTCTCCCCAGTCACAACTTCCTGAGACCTCTGTCCCATGCTGACTGGCTCTTAGTCTACTTAGATGTATGCTGTTGTTAGCTGCCATCCAGTAGGCCCCCAGCAACCCTGTGCACAACAGAAGGAAATGCTGCCTGGTCCTGCGCCAGCCTCATGATCTCTTGGGGATCAGACTACCGTGCTCCATAGGGTTTTCACTGGCTGATTTTTGTCAGCAGATTGTCCTTCTTCCTAGTTCTTCTTAGTTTGGAAGCTTCACGGAAACCCGTCCGGGATCACAGCAACACACAAGTCTCCACTGACAGATGGGTTGTAGCTGCCTGCGCATGAGGCGCAGTGGCTGGGAATCAAAATTGGGTCTCCCACATGGAAGGCAAGAATTCTACCACTGACCCACCACTGCCCTGATAATTTCCACTTATTGTTGACATGCTTTTTGTTTCTCCAGTCAACAAGTACTTCTGGATAAGGCTCTGCAGGTAAAGATTAACATTAAAAAGGAAGGCAGAGCTGTAAATGACCACCCTGGAATATTTAAGCATTTCAGTATCAAGCCATACTACCTTTAAAAAATCTTGAAAAGCCCAGGTAACTTCTATGATATGAGATACCTATGATGTTTGCTTTCATTTTTTTCAGGCACATACAGATACTTTCCCCTCCACATTCTTAGTAACATATATCTACTTCAACAGGAGAGTTACTTATAATGAACAAAGATTCAGAAACCTGTTTTTTATATCAAAGAGAGGGTTTTTCACAAATTTCCAGTGCACAGGGGGTTATAACATTCTCTAGGAAAACATGCTGCAAACATTCTCAATAAGATGTTTGAAATGAATTCAAGCATGGATTGTAAGCCACTGTTCTCAATAATATACAAGTTATATGAACCAAATGAACTGAGGGGAGAAAACTTCTTCCTGAACCAAGATCTTGGAGAAAGTCTCCATCTTGCCCTATTCTGCGGGTTAACAGTGTGGTTTAAGACAACTTAAAACTATACTACTGTAACGCTTGCTCTTTACTACAAGAAAGGAAGAAATAGCAAAATCAGTCTTTTTAATGATCTTATACCTATACTGTTTTGCCCAGTTTTTTTTTTTAATCCTTCCAACAAACTTTCATTAGGCATAGCAAGCTCTGTGCCAAGCATTGGAGATATAATGGCAAAAAAGACATGATACCTGTTTTTTTTTTTTTTTTCTTATATTTCTTAATTGTTTTAATGGCCCCCCATTACTTTTTGTTTGGAACTCTTTATTGTGCTTTAGGTGAAAGTTCACATAGCAAACTAGTTTTCCAATCAATAATTCATACACAAATTGTTCCCTGACATTGACTGTAACCCCTGCAATGTGTCAGCACTCTCCCCATTTCTTCCCTGGGTTTCCCATTTCCATTCATCTGGTCTCCCTGTCCCTCCCTGCCTTCTCATCTTTGGTTTTGGGCAAATGTTGCCCTTTTGGTCTTGTATAGTTAGAAGTTCTATGGAGCACCTTCTTCATGGGTGTTATCGTTTATTTTATAGTCCTATCTATTATTTGGCTGAAACGTGGCCTTTGGGAGTGTCTCCAGTTTCAAGTTAGAAGGTTGTCTTAGGGCAATAGTCTTAGGGGTTCCTCCAGTCTTTTTCAGATCCATAAGTCTGTTCTTTTTTTTTTTGTTTGAATTTTGTTCTACATTTTTTACCCATTCTAACCAGGACTTTCTATTGTGGTCCTGGTTAGAGTGGTCGGTAGTGGTAGCTGGGCACCATCTAGTTCTTCTGGTCTCAGGTTAAAAGGGGCTGTGGTTCATGTGGGCCATTAGTCCTTTGGACGGATTGCTTCCTTGAGTCTTTGGTTTTCTTCATTCTCCTTTCCTCCAGGTGGGAAGAGACCAATAGTTGTTTCTTAGATGGCCACTTGAGAGCTTTTAAGACCCCAGACGCTATACCAGACTAGAATGTAGAACATTATCTTTATGAACTGTACTTTGCCAATTGACCTTGATGTCCCGAGAGTATTGTCCTTACTCTTCAAGTCCAGTAATTCTGTTCCAATGTCTAAGAAGTTTCTATAACTGTGCACCCTACCTGCACTATTATATATATGAGTATACATGCAGCATTTACAAATATGTATGTAGAAATACCGATAACCATATCTATATATGTACGCGGGTGTACTCCTGTATGACCTCCCTCACCTATTTAGCATACATCTCTACCTATGTATCTACTCACAAATTATTGTTTGTTATTACTGTTGCTGCAGGATTGTATACGTTATAATGAATACCATAGTTGCCCTTTATTCCTGTGTACATTTCAGTGTCTTCCTTGGCGTTGGCCATGTTGTGCTGACTTCCCCATATAGTGCATTGCCTTTCCTTTCACAAGAATTAACACTTGTCTACTATCTAGTTAGTGACTCACCCTCCCTCCCCCCTCCCATCCCTGGTAATCATCCAAAAATGTTTCTTTCTGTGTGTAAACCTATTCTTAACTTTTTATAATTGTGGTCTCATATTTGTCCTTTTGTGATTGGCTTATTTCATTCAGCATAATGTCTTCCAGATTTATCCATGTTGTGAGATGTTTCACGGATTCAACATTATTCTTTATCATCGCGTAGTATTCCATTGTATGTATGTACCACAGTTTGTTTACCCATTCATCCACTGAGGGGTATTTAGGTTGTTTTCATCTCTTTGCTTCTGTGAATAATGCTGCAATGAACATGGATGTGCATATGTCTGCCTTGGTTTTTAAAGAGATGTTGTTACCAGGTTTTATTACACAGTGTTGACAGCAACATATTATATGAAATCATCTTCATAAATTTTGTATTAAGGTAGCAGTGCCACTACCTGAAACTGATTCAAAACGCTTAAGATACTCAATTACTTTTTAACACTGTTACACAATGTGCTGACTTATAGCTTCTATTTCACAAGAATTTGATGATGCAACATCAGTGTAATTGATTCATTTTCTTAATTAAATAAAGCTACTGTGTTTTTCTTTATATGTATGTCACCATATAAACACCATACAGTTAGATGTATTATCTCCTTTCTCTGTCTCAGATATATTGCCTTAAAGGCTGTATTCTGTTCCTCTGTTAATTCCACCAGAAAATCTAATGCCACAGTCATATTTTTCAAATTCTGAGCTGCCATGTACTCAACTGTATTTATATTAGCATATTTTTCACTGCTAAACTCTTTGTTATTTACCTTTTTCAAGATCACATTACTGTACGGGTGCAGCAACCATAAAACACAGCCAAACAAAGTCAACCTCCAGTCACTGCCTCTGTTTTTGCACACAGTTCATGAAAAAGTGAAGCCCTTAGTTTTATAGCACATTATAAAAGTGGTACTGAGGGTACTCAGCATAAAATGTTAGCTTCGTGAATGTCTACCTTTATTCTGGGTCTGCCTTCCAAATGCTTGGCTGTGAGAGCGGAGTTCAGAGGAACACAATAATATTGTTAGGGTTGATGTACTGCCTGCACCTCACAACATATGAAATGTTGTTTATATCTAACTTGTCCGGGTCCACATTCCTACTTGTATGTTTTGCTTGTATTGAGAGTTTTCTGTGTCTAACTAGTACTTTGGGACAATGAACAAAACAATAATTGCTCTTGTCATTCACTTTGCTAATCAGTCTCTAGGACTAGTAGCATTTTGATAGACTAATTAGCTGAACCTCTTCCCTCTCCTGGGCATGCTTTTTTTCTTTTGCCAGCCATTAGATCCAATATTCAAAGCCACACTAACAGGGGACAGTCCCGTCTCATTCTGATGTAAGACACACCATTATGTATTTAAATGTGGAAGAATGACTTCATTTAGGCACAAGCATTAGGTCTCAGGGTGTTATTATAGTAACATTTCTTATATACTCCCTTGCAAGGACTAACAGTTGATAATTAGAAAAGCTCTTCTTCTACTTACAACATGACTTTGGAAAATGATGCTGGAAAGGCAATTGCCAAGGCAAAAAGTTGGCTCGTGGGACTTCAACTAGTTAGTCAATGACTGTGGTGCTAAAAAGGCAACTTTCAAAGTGTCACATTCTGCTTCTGTCTCTGCAGAGGTACTTTTTACATACAATGGTAAAACAGACCTTGCTACCAAGCCCTTTTACCTTATATTCAGGCACAAGCAGAAAACTAAAGTGAATCCACCTCTGTAACTTTGAGAAGACACTAGCTATAGCTTTCATTTTCTATTTTACTCTCTGAAATTATGGCTTGCCCTGCAGCTCTTGTCTGAGAGATTTATGTGTGACCTAGGTCAGATCTTCCAATATCAGCTGACAAATTTTCTCTTTACATATTTACTGCTTTTCAAGCTTGTGTTATTTTCTCTTAAATAGAAAAAAGAAATATAAAATGAAAGCAAATTGTTGGAATTTTTAAAGAATACCATTTTTGTTTGTTGTGCTACTGGTATCACATCCTGGTTTTCAATGCTGAACTCTTTATTCTTTTTTTAAACTTCAGATTTTAGGAACCACAGCTATTTTACAAAGACTCTCTTTTCAAATCAGATGCATTAAGCTGTAACCCTGGCTACATATCAACAGGGATTATAGGAAGCTGAGACTTTCATATTCTAAATGAAGAACGGTGACCTAAAGAATTTTGAAATGAAAGGGACCTCAGAGATGTTCTAGTTCTTCCTACTTATTTTGCTGTTAGGGCAACTGAGGCTCAGAAACTGAGAGAGAAGTGTCCAAGGTTGTAGACAGAACCTGGCCTAGCACCGACTGGAGGCTGCCTGGTGTAGGGAAAATACAAGAGCTTTGAAGTCAGAAAGACGCTTGGAATTCCAGTCAGATCCCCATGGCCTCAGGGAGCCCCTCCCTTTGCTGGGGCTCAGGGCTCTTGTCTAAAAAATGAAGGGATAAGCTAGAGGAGCCTGAGGAGCCCTCAACGCAGAGCTGCCCATTCAGGTGCCATGAGTTTTTTTTTCCTACCCAAGGCAGAAGTGGGACTGGCATGCAATCTAATTGTATCTGGCATCGGGCTGGATGCTAAAATTTAGGGATGCACCACCACCAATCCAAAGCTAGAACTTTCAAAAACACAGTGTCCAAATTTTAGTCTTCAATTGAGAGGGAAAAAAAAAAAAATCCTTTTCACGTGACCACAAGCTGAATACACACTGCCTAGTGCTACTAACTTGAGTCCCCAAACAAGTAACTTTTTAAAAAAAAGAACAGAAGAAAATTTACCCTGGCGACAAGCAGGAATTTTGGTAAACTGGTATTTTTAGATACTGAATGCATTATGAGACAAAATAAATGAATAATATATATTATTTCTATTGCTGTAAGATGAACAAGTGTCATTCACTTGTGTCATCCCATCTCCTTTGCTCATCAGTCTCTGTCCTTGTTCAAGCTCTTATCATGCCTGTGAATATATTAGCATATCTTGCATAGGGCCTAAAAAAAAAAAAAGTCATATTAGGATTTAGCAGGAAGTACTCTATAGGGTATAAAAAAGTCACTATGATACCCACATTCTAAGATCCACTCACTGGCACCTTCTTGCTGCCCCACAATTCCTACTCCAGCTGGGGCCCAGTTTTGAAAAGCTAAAACTAGATATCCCCAAATTTAACAGACAGCTGGGTGGGACAGAAAGGCTCAAAGATACCAAGAGGAGGGCACAGCTCAGATGGGACCAGAGAGAAAATCATCACAGCCATAAATTAGATCACTTGCCTCTTACTGCTTCCCGAGTATCAACGACAATGCATTTCACACAAAATACAACAGCTGAAGTATCAAGGTACTGTGCAACATTATTCATTCGCTGGGTCTGCCAGTGAGTGAGCAGGGAAAAAAAGGACCTGACTGCCAGTCTATACTCTTTTATCCCTTGTGTATTTAAAACTGACATAGCTCATGTCCCACCTGAGATCGGTACATAGGAGCCACAGTCAATCACCCTATGGGTAGATGTAAGTTTTAATTTTTAGACTTGAACTTTGTAAGAAAAGCAGGGGTTAGAGCCACAATTCAAAATGTTCAATATGAATCAGAAAATTAACCTCTTCCCCAATGGTACAAGAAGTCCATAAAGCACCTTCCTTTTCAAAGGAGACTGTAGACATTCGCTGAGTCAAACTTTTTTACTTTCTTTGTTCCAAAAAAGGGTGGCTTTATTTCAGAATCCAGGTTAAGAATCTCTCTGTGTAAAAGGCATTGCTTTTTTGGAGAAAGGACTGTTGACCGCTCTACTCTTCATGGTCAAATAAATCTGCTACAGCAAAGTTTTTTTTTAATGTGTCAGAATGTCTGAAAGGGTTTTCTGGAGCTATCATTTAGTTTGCACCTCTATTAGTTTAAATTCTGCATGCCATAGAGTCTACACGGATCTGGGAGTCACCTAGTCCAGTTCCTTGCCCAATGTAGAAATTCTGTTTTTAATATTCCTGACAGACAGGCATCCTATCTTCACTAGTACACGTCCAATGATGGGATTTCAGTAACTCCATTTTAGGTAGCTTAAATTGTTAGAAAGTTCTTCCTTATTTTGAGTCCAAATATTTGTTCCTATAAGACTTGCCCATGGTCTGGAGCTGTAGAGAATAAGTCGAATGACAGTTTCTCACATATTTGAAGATGACTGGAATGTCTTTGGAGCCCTGGTGGCACAGTGGTTAAGAGCTCGGCTGCTAACGAAAAGGCTGGCAGTTCAAATCCACCAGCCACTCCTTGGAAGCCCTATGGGGCAGTTCTACTCTGTCCTATAGAGTGGCTATGAGTCGGAATTGACTTGATGGTAATGGGTTGTTTTTTTTTCCCCTTCCTTATGATCAGTTGCTATTTTGTTGCTCTTTTTTTTAGGTTAAAAAAAATTTTTTATTGCAGTGAAATATAATAAAACATTTGACATTTCAACCGTTTTTACATGTCCGATTCAGTGACATTAACTACATTCACCATGTTGTCTACATTCTTCTGAGGGTAAGTCAAAGGCACATCCATAGACAGAGCTAAGTACACCTTAGAAAGCAATGGTGCTTGTTTCTAATCCAATGAACAAGTGATGTATTCTAGAATTCTACTCCACAGAACATGTCTCTATAACTGTAACCTGGAAAAGTCATAAGTGTTGCCCTTTATTCTTTCAACTTCTCTTAGCATCCAACTCCCAAAACATCCCCCCACCCCAAGCAGCCCATGTGCTTCCTGGGAAAATGACTTCACCCTCCAGCTCCAGAGGTTGGGCATGAAGTTCAGTCCTAAACCAACGAGCATCTAAGTCCCCTAGGCACTTGGATTTAAATTGGTCCAATCAAACTGTAGCATAGGACCTTTGGCTGCCTGTGGGGAAAAGAGACCTGCTCTTCCCCTCTAAACAGAAAACAGGTCACACCAGGAATCTCAACAGCCATTTTAAGGCTGTGAAGGGAGAAGACTACCAAGCAGAGCCAGAAGTGGCCTACCGAATCAAGCCCCACCTAAAACCAGCAATACTTAGTGATCCACTTATGTCATTCAATACATTCCCCTTATGGTTAAGGCTAGTTTCAGCTAGATTTTTGGTTAGTTGAACTGGAAAACTACCCGGAATGATCCAGGCATGATTTCACATTCTTCACCATCGTGGTCACTTCTCTCTGAATGTGTTTCCATATGTGCATATTCCTTAAAAGTACGACACCCACACCCGAACACGTATCTTGGACTGGTTGGCTTAGATCACCTTGTTCTGGACACTACACTTCTATTCATGGATGCTGAAAGTGCATTCATATTTGTGATAGCCATATCACAGAGTTGGCTCAACTGACAGAAATCAGAGAAGTATCTAAATATCAGATGGAAAAAGAATTGCTTTTTTCCTGTACTTATCTATTTCTTATGTGTTTCATATTGATACAGTATTTGTGAGTCAAAATGAGTGGATGATTAAACCAATCAAAGAATCTGAACAATTCTGATGAAAGGTAGCCAGAAACTGCATCCACCTTTCATTTGTTTGGTTGAGGAGAGTCCTGCTCAATACTGAGGTACAACTGTGGATTCTTAGGCTCTGGAATGATCTTACCAGTTGCTGTAAATTCTGACTCATGGAGACCCCATGTGTGTCAGAGAAAGGATTTTACGGGTTATTTAATTCAACCTAGATCTCCACCGGTCTGCTCCATGAATCCTTCCTTCATTACACCCTTGCTGGCCCAGCTTGTATCAGAATATGTCTAGTAATGGGGAGCTCAGTCTTCTGACTGTCCCTTCCACCCCCTTTCCCAGTTCCCTCCCGAAAGTACAAATCCACAGCCTTTCTTACACGAGAACCCTCATGTGTCTGAAGACAACTATTTCATCTCGGTGGAAACTTTTATCCTTCAGGCATTAATACTGGTGGGATACAGTACGGATACGGGATATGGAAGACAAAGAATGGGACAAATGATTAGTATAAAGCCTCAGGATGTATGCTTTGCTAACATGTTAAAAAAAAAAAAAGTCAGACTAAAAATTAACTCATTGATTTCAAATGTTTATATATGCTTACTCTGTGCTGGGTACTTTGCTAGACTCCAGGGCCCGAAAGATGGATAAGATACAATTGCTGGTCTACAGAAGTAAAGTCATTTATTTAAGGTCCCTGAAACTTAGTGGCAGAGCTAAGACTTGAACACAGGACTTGTACTCTCCTCTAAATACCACTCAATATTTGAACAAAATACAACTCACTGGAGTTTTGTTTTCTTCCTCCAGGGCTTCAAATATTTCTACGACAGCCTTTTGCCCTCTATGTGATGTTTTTAGGCACTGCAAGGAAGTTAGCTTTGTGGCTAAGGCTCCACATATCACTGCATGTTTTTTTTTTTTTTTTCCAGCATCATATACTTTACAACATTGTCTGGCCTGCTGAGATTTTGAGATAAGCTGCAATCACAACCAACACATGGTTCATATAGGATTAAGAAGGAAAGAATCTTGAAATACAATCACATAACCATGTTAACTGACATGTGGCTTATTGGCTTAACTATAAATGGAATTCAAAATAGAGTTAATTAAAAAAAAGAAGTCATAGATCTAGAATGAACTAAACAAAGTTTGACTTTCATTTCAGAGTTTTAGTTCACACTTCTCATATTCTGACACATGGAAAACCAGGCTTCAATAAATCCCAAGGGAATACTCCGGGAGAGATGGTAATGCGAAAGGTAGTTGAAGGTGTGGAAAGGAGAAGGAAGCTGCTCATACAAGATGACAGTAGACCACAGAAGTCCAGCATTTTTCAGACTCTGCTTATCAAATAACATTAGTTTTAGCAAAATATTACTCAGAAGCATAAAAAAAAAATAAAAAAAAAACCACCAAAAACAGATAAAAGTAGAGCCATTCTTGCGTGTGTGTATGCACGTGCCTGTGTGTGTGTTGGGGGGTGTGGATAATCTTGGATTCCCACCTATTTTATGTCCTCTCATCCCAGAATTCTGCAAATCATTGACCTAGAATACCTTCCTCATTTTTCAAAAGAGGAGGCTGAGGTCTGAAGAGAAACAAAGTCGAACAACTAATAAGAGAAGCCAGGACCAGAACTCAGGTCAGCTCTGTGTGTGTCTGGGGGTAAACCACATACTTGTTGGGTGTCACTGTCCTGGTGTCCTCTGAGTCACTGGGCAATTCCAGCTGCTAGGCTACCAAGGACGAATAGGGCTATCCAAAGAGCATGGACTGAAAGGGCTGCCATCACCTCAAGTTCTTGTACCCCAGGGGAGGCCTTTGGTTGGGAATTTTCTTTTATTTATTGTATCTTCTGAAATAGAACAAGGCTAGAGTCAAGGTGCCCTCATGCCCAGAATGGTACTCTCTGTAACCTGCTTCTGAAAAGAAAACAAAACAAGACAAGCTTCATTACCCCCTTTTGGTATTTCCTTCTCCGAGCCTATATGCCAACACCTTCTTCCTTAACACTGTTTCATTCCACAGTTTTTCTTTCTCCTCACGGTGATCACCACTATAGACCTTGACATTATACAGGATGACAGGGTCCACACTGAGCCTAATTGGCTGCCTCCGTTTCCTACGATTCCTTGGAAGTGAGCACCTTGGCTCTGTGCACAGATAGACAACTACCTCCATTCCTAGCTCCTAGCATTCCCTGGAACCCTCTTTCCACCCCATGTGTCCTGGGCACTCTCCAGTCTTAAATTGAATCAGCTCTTTGCTTCTTTTAGGCAACTCATTGATTTTTCAATGAACTTAGCTTGTCTGTTTTATTGGCACTAAAGAGGGTTGGGTTCTTAGCATCATTAACATTTTAGTTGAGGAAGAATTTCCAAACTCCCCAGGCATTAATCCAGAACTGTTAAACATCTAAAAAGTAATCTGTGTTCAGACAAAGCTTGACCAGGTCTGCCCCCTTTTTAACTTGGATGCCAATGAGCCCCTAGCCCCAAATCTACCCAAGTTTT